TATATATATATATATATCTCTCTCCTTCTCTTGGAGAATCAGTTGCCGAGGTCTATTGGCCTTGATGAGAGAAACGTTTTCGACTCCATCACACTTCCTACGAGAGGAAACCCGTTTAGAATATCAATCGGTTCGTTCGACAATAGTCTAACATGTATTTAGGCTAACTAACGATTCAGCTCTCATTCATAGAATCTCATTTAATTTCGGTATGTGCACGTGACCAGGGAGTAGAGACAGAAAGAGAGAGAGAGAGGGGGGGGGGAAAGGAATCATATAGATTCGATGTTGCGCATAATGATCGACACGATTAATCTTTTTTCTTTTTTCACTTATTTATTTATTTTTATTTTTTCTGATATTAAAAAGAAAACAAAAATTATTCCCTTCTAAGATCGTAAATTTACGTATTTAAAGGATTATTATTGTAAAGCGGGGTGGGGGTAGAAGGGAGGGAGGGGGTGGATGGAGAAAAACAAAACAAAACCAAAAAAAAAAAAAAAAAAGAAAAGAACGAAGAGGAAACAAAAACAACAATGACATAGTCGAGATGATTTTCAGGTGAAAAAAAAAAAAAAAAAAAAAAAAAAAAAAAAAAAAAAAAAAAAAAAAAAAAAAAAAAAAAAAAAGCGAAACGAAAAGCGAAAAGAAAAGAAAAATAAACCTAACGCGAATGAATAGTAATCGTCAATAGGATTTCGAGATCGACCTCGACAAGGTCGCAAAACGATTGAACGTGTGTACTCGATCGATGGACGGGAAAGAATGTTGCGTGTCCTCCCCTCCTCCCGCTCTCTCCCCCTCCTCCTCCTCCTCCTCCTCTTCTTCTTCTTCAATTCTCTGATGTTTGGCCATTGGCCAAGGACAAGCTTGCTTTAGGTTGCTCAACTTCGAAAGAGTAAAGCCAACGAGATAGACAGGGTCTATTTAGTTTTGTATACATTATTTCTCAACTTCAACTAATAAATAAGGTTGAACGTATGTAACGTACGTAAGTATATATTCTCTCTCTCTCTCTCTCTCTCCTTCTTTATCTTTCTCTTTCTTTCTCTCTCTCTCTCTCTCTCTCTCCCTCTCTAGATAGAATGACGATTACGTGACAATGACTAACTACGTGATCACGATTATGTTCGATTACGCGAATTAAGTTAATGTTTAATTCGATTCACGTAAATATATACGCGAAAGGACAAGACGTATTGCTCCTTCTTATTCTTTTACAACGATCGATCGGACTATATAAACGAACTCGATTTCGACTTTAACCATCAATCGATCCTCAACTCTACACGAGCTTTTGAAGTTATCAATCAACCAGAACTATTATTTTCACACTGACAATCAACATGAAGTGCTTCGCCGTAAGTATTTGTTTCTTTTCTTTTTTTTTTTTTATTTTTTCTCTCCTATTCGTCGATCGAAATTAAAGATAAACAACGAGATCGTCACGAACTACACATTTGTTTCCTTTTTATCTTTCTTTTCTTTTCTTTTCTTTCACCTTTTTTTTTCTTTCTTTCTTTCTTTCTTTCTTTCTTTCTCTTTTTTTTTTTTTTCTTTTTTTTTATTATTTCGAATTTTACTCTTTCGTTTCGTTCAAGCCAAATTTCTTTTATAATACATATATTGTAAAAAAGAAAAAAAAAAAAGAAAAAAAATATATATATATATATCTTCGAATTCAATTATTCAAAATTTGTCATAATTATTCGATTCATATGTAATAAATTTAAGATTATATTATTAATTATTTTTCCTATGGACTCATGAATAATCGAGGGTTGTGAAACGACGCTTAATATATATATATATATATAATCGAGAAGAAAATCGTGATTAGAAAGAGAAGAAGGTAAAAAGTGGGAGTATTAAACGAAATATTAAAAAAAAAAAATATAATTTTTTTTTTGTTAATTATTATTTAGGCTATCGTTCTGCTAGCCATGATCGCAACAATGGCCTTAGCCGATACGAAGCCTGCCGATGTCGAGTCGATCGAGCCATCTAATGCAGCGAACCCAATAGAAACTGAAAGTGCAAGGAACAAACGAGGATTATTGGTTGGCGCTGCGTACACTGCACCGATTGCATATACTGCTCCAGTGACGTATACATCAGCAGCGTATGCCTATCCCTACGCATACAGACCTGCATATACTGCCTACCCCTATTATGCAGCTGCTGCATACAGCGCACCCTACATCGTGGCCTAGATAATGAGACGACCTACGACGAGCTTTTACCTGACACCAGAACCGAATGCAGTCGTTAACGTTCTGCTACTCTTAAAGGTCTTTTCTTTTTTTCTATGTTTTCCTTGTTTGTTTGTTTTTCTTTCTTTCTTTCTTTATTTTTTTTTTTCTTCTTCTTTTTAATTCTTTTTTTTCCACCCTCTTTCATACATAAAACAAAATAAACTCGTACACTCGCCACGTCAAAGGAAATCTATTCGGAATCTATGTATACTCACACATATAAGAACATAAATATATATATATAT